ACTCAAGGGTATTATAAGTTTCCATTTTAGGATTTGAAGCAAATGATGAAGAAAATGTGATTTCAAAAATTCTGTCTTTGACAATTCTTAATTACTTTCAAATAAATTTAGTATTTGGGTTGAGGTTACCTGCTATGTCACTGTATTTAGTAAAAGCCTGAGAACATGGCACCTTCAATATATGAGGTCCTGCCACACACACACAAAAAAAATCATTCTCCTTTTCCCATCTCTGTTTTGGCAGTTATCATATTGCATTTCAATTCTGCTTACATACCTGTGTTTCCTATCAGACTGAAAATCCCTTAAGGTTAAGAATCTCAGTTAATTCCCATCTACAGCTTCAGGATCTCACAAAGTACTTGGCACCCAATAAACTCAATGAAGGGCTGGGGTTGTGGCTCAGTGGTAGAACGCTTGCCTAGCATATGTGAGGCACTGGGTTCCATCCTCAGCACTACATATAAATAAAGATCCATTAACAACTAAAAAATATATTCAAAAAAGAACTCAATAGATGTTTTTAGGTAAGTAAAGTTTTAAAAAAGACATAGATTTTGTTGAAGAGCTAATTTCTTAATTTGGGGTTCAATTAGTATTTTGCCTTCTAGTATTGACTATTAGATTAAATGTTATATTCTGCTTTATTCTCTTATAGAGTTTTTTCAGAAGTTTCTTTGGAGATATAATATAATTTTTAGTAGAAACTTACAAGCTGGGGAAATTTATATCTGATGAAGATTAACAATCCTTATATACGTAGAGACAGTTTAAGCCAGTACTACAAAACTCAGTTATGAAATATGTATTTGAATAGCCTGTGAAAATAAAATAAATTCTAAAATTAGAATAGAAATGAAAGAATGAAAGAGAACCTTTTATACTAGATCAAATCCACCCTAAGGTGAACTATTGGCTTTTTGAAACATTTAAGGCAATGAATGCAATTATCTTTGACAGTTCTACTGGTCTTACTTTTTCTGATATGACTTAACTCCCCCAGCCACACACACAAGACTTCCTTTTGACTTAGAAGGAGAAAGTAAGTAGGATTTGTAGGATTTGTATTAATTTTCTACACAATAGTGTCTGGATTATTTTAAGTCTTAAGAAAACTTCCATGAAGAAAATGATCATTGTTTATGAGAACAGGGCACATTTTTAGATTCACCTTAATTAAAATTAGACAGTTGATCTCAATTCTTTAAATCCATGTTTGCTCATACACTTTTCAAAGCTTCTAGAAGTGTGTTAAAGTTTGTAAAAACTGCATTTTGGGCCATAACAAAAACTAATATATAAAGAGGAATCTACCTAGCATCAATACATTCAAATAGGGCACCTGTCCCTATGATGTTTTAAGAGTTTATTATTAAATGTGTAATATAAATTAATATATTGCAATAATGTTTTCTTAGAAAATATTAAAATATATTCCTTCTCAACTGCTGAGAACAGAATTAGCACTAGTATATTAAAGTGTTTTTTTTTCCACAAATTTGAACCTCCAGCGAGAGAGAATAAATGGAAGATAACAGGACAAAATTGGATTTGTGTGTGTTGTACATTGTTTTTTTTTCTCTTTATATTTCATAAATTACCATAGGCAGCTTTAGCTACACAGGCTTGCTGTGTGAAAACAACGGTTTTTAGACTATTTTGTTATGAATGTGTTTATCATCACAAAATATATGGTTATTTAGTTAACATTAATCTTGTTTCAGCAATACAATGTGAACACAATTTAGTAACAACCAAACTGTCATCACTAAGTCAGCAAAAATGTATGTAAATTTCTAAAACTTGCAGATGACTAATGGATTACACTATAGGAGAAAGAAAGTTGAGATGTTTATTTTCCTCTAGAGACACAACAAAAAATGTGAACTGATGCCAACTCCATGTACTAGACAATATGAATTTATACTGAAAATTTTTGTTCACCACATTTTCTTTAGAAATATCCACAACTGAGAGCAGTATAACCCTCACACATCTAAACCATTGTTGGAGACTCTATTTTATAAAACTACCTTGAACCTAGTATTCAAATATTTTCTGCAGTATTTCTCAATTTGTATGAATTGGCTGCATAGAATTCTTATCCATGGGAGAAAATGGAATCAAGAATGCTCTAGAGAATCTAATTTATGTTTACTTTTGTTATATACAATTGGCTAACAAAGTATCTCTAATTTATTTGCCACTGGCATTCACTTTATTTTAACTCATAATTTTTGGGTCAAGTATTTGAGAACAGTTCATTTCAGTAGTTTGCCTCTAATCTATGTGACACAAGCCAGGTTAGCTAGGACTGGGGGGATCTACTTCTAAAAAACTTCTTTATTCATATTTCTTGTACTTTGAAAGTGCTCCTTGTTCTTTCTCTTTCCACATGGTGTCTTATCCTCTAGAGTCTCTCCCTGCAGCTTGGGCTATAAGTAGCATTATAGTTTCAGAGCAAACCATGAAACTGGGATAGAAGTTGCTAGTTTCTCTCAATGTGGTCTTCAAAATCTCAGAACATCAATTATGCCATACTTTATTGGTAAAGCGTATTTCCAAAGCCAACCCAGAATAAAATGTGAGGGGGAGATTAAGTCCACATTTAGATGATGTGAGTAGCAAAAAGATCTAGGGCCAACTTTAATATGCCACATTGTTATTTCAATTATTAAGTGCTAGGATTTGGGAAACCAAAATTTGATAGTATGCTTAATAACAATTTGAATTGGACTACTGTACTTTTTGGGAAGTTCTAATTTTAGTTATAGTTTGAGGATATCTGAAACTAAATGTTGCTTGACAAACTTTAGATGCAGAAGGAAAACAACTTCTAGAAGTTTTTATTACCTTATGGAATTCTGAAAGTTCCCCAGATATAGATAGAGATGTCCAATAGCCCCAGTTATCTTTCTCTATTTCTTTTTTATATCTAAAGTTTTATAAACTCTCATCATTCTGTCTGGAGATCTCCCACTGAGGCTGAGGATCTCTCTGACATTTATAGCACTCTTAATGTCACCTGACAATTGAGGTATATGAACACCTCACAAAATGATTCACCACTGTGAATATATAGTGTTAATAAATTTGCAGAAAAGTTAAACTCACTTATAATTAACTAGTCATATGCTCATTGAAACCACGAAGATCTTGAATGAAAACATGAGAAGTTTTCTATCTTTCTGTCAATAAAGTTATCTCTAAATTATATACCAACTAAAAACTGAAAAGTTTAGCCTTACATTTAATGTAGTGTGGCAGTCAATTATCTTCGTGATTTTAAAGGATTTACTGTCAATAGGGTATTTTGGCATATATGCCTATGTTGGAATACTTGTTCATATAAAGCTTTATAAAATACACACCATAATAGGTGCCCTGAGTAGCATATACAGGTGTTGCACCAAGTGAATTGAATGAAACGTATCCATTAGAAAGGTCCCTCTCACTACTGTGTAGCAGTACTTGTCAAATTTTTCTGTTGAAATGTGAATAATGGTAGAACAGAATGGAAAGATATCTCCACTGAGGCCACAAACATGAAATGTACTGATATTTAAGTGAATTTTGTTTTCATTCCTTAATATATAAATTTTCAAATAAAAACAACTTCTCCACTAGAATCTCCATGTAAACTGATGATACAAGATCATTAAATAGCTTTATGTAATCCCTAACAAACTATACAGTACCATAGAGATATTTTTATCCCAGTTTGAAATGGAAAAGTGTAAGTAAAAATTATTGGAGGGTAAGGATATAAGCATATCTGAATCTGAATCTAACAAAATATAATGCCTCCAAAATAAGAAGGGGAATGTGGAAAGAGCCACAGTCAATACTTCAACATTATTTACAAAACAGTCACCACTTCCACAAGTTATATTTGACAACATGTTTACTATTTTGTCCTCTTTTAGTTTTAACCTATTTAACTTTGGTCCTCCTCAAATTGATAGTCTATATTTAGAAAGTACTGTGCTACATTTCATTTTAGAACAGTGAGCAAACACTTTGGAATGTAATTTTCTCTCTCCTGTTTCCAAGATAGATATAAAATTGTATTGAAAAGATCAAAAGTTGAGCCTAAAACTTCCAAAGTGAATGAAATATTATAGTCAATTCATCCTACTTGACTATATATATAATTGGTGGTTACCACTATGATCACAAATTTTAAAAAATCATGTACCCAATGTATGTCTAATATACTTTTTGCCTGTACACTCAATTTTTTTGTGATTCTTTTGTTTGGAATTGAAGAAATTGAGGATTGTGGGGTGAAATCCACAATAGATGAAAGCTCACAAATGTTAAAGAACAGGGTTTAGATTAAAGGCCACAGCTTAAAAGAGATCCTAGCAGGCTTCTGAGTAACAAGCTTATAGTACTCAAACTCACAAGGACTAGTGGCAGCACACTCAAAATTGGCTCAAATTTTCATGTCCTTATTCAAGTTTGTAAAAATACAGTAGCATTCATATATCAACTAGTTACTTTTTCCCTCAACATCATATGAATCATAAATATTCAGGATCCAAATCTAAATTTTTTTAAATAGCATTGGATTTTGTCATTGGAAATAATATTATCAAATCATTTTAAAGGCAGTACTGAAGGGCTGTGTTTTATATTAAGACGTGCTTGGCCTCCAAGAGTTAATTCTCTCCAAATAAAATTTTTTGGCTGACATGTATGAAAAATTTTCTCCACCAATCACCACTGGAAGACAGCATGAATCTATCAATCACAGAGTTAAAAAGCTCTGTTGTATAGCACATTTAATACCCAGCGTAACAAATTAGTATTACCATTCCTTGATGCAATACAAATTCATTTCTTTAAAATGCTAACTCCAGGGTTATAAATGAGCAGAAAGCAAATTGATTTGCATGTAATAACAGTGGCAATAAACCTTTCCTGGTTCATGCAATTTTCCCCATCTGTTAATAGAGAGCAAGTTTAGGATCTATTATTCCCAGAAGGAGACTTACCCAGCTGGACATCTATAACACTTGGCTGATTCTCCATGGGGAACAATGGCTTGGGAGGCTTGTCTGTGAGTAAAGCTAGAAGAGAAAATAAAAGAAAATAATGGAAAAATTGAGATAAATTATAGAATAGGAAAGATTCTATCATTGTATGATATTTAATGTTTGTAGACTTGATGGTGTGTAAACATTTATTAGTGTTCTTTTTTGGGTTGCTACTCTATCCATACAATATCCATTTCCCAGCACATTTAAAACACTGATGATTCACTTTAAAAAGGCCATTTCAACATCTAAATCTTCCAACAAGATAAAAAATGGACTACTTTGCTGTTTTTAAAAGCTTGTGTAAAAAATACAGATTTAGATAATATAATCAGAGAAACATTAAATCCTTATATCTGCTTTGTAGCACTAACTATTCTCAATGAAATATAACCCTAGTAGACATTTCTGGGGGCGTGAAACTTTTAAAACTCTAAATCATCTCCTGTTCTCCACCTCAACTTCCAGAATATAATAAAGCACTGGTACCTTCATTAGTAATTGATGAAACATAATAATTTGTGTACCAAGTCCTGTGCTAGGTGTTAAGGGAGAGAAGGTAAAGTCTTTTTTAGGGCCTTCAATTTATAACATAATAGCACATGAAAATAAAGAGAGAATTGAAAACAGAATATAATCTTATGGAAGATGCAGCATTTGAAGTATAAGAATATGTGTGTGTGTGTGTGTGTGTACACACACATGCACGTGTGTATAGCAAAGGAATACAGAGAAGTTAATATTGGTTATTATGATGATTGGGAACATTTTATAAAGGAAATTGGATCTCCCTATGAGCCTTAAGGGATGGAGAAGATCTGGAAAAGCAGAGAGTAAGGAAAAAGAAATTCAGGAAAGTTTAACACAAACCAAGGGACAAAGGTAGAATTTAGCAAGCATAATATGCTTAGAGGAGAATGGTCTGGTGGAAAGGGGTTGGATGGGATAGGTTTGGGTGGAGAATTAGTTGCTCCTAATATATGCCTCAAGAATTGGAAATAAAATTTGATAGATAGGATGAGGCTCAGTTCTGGAGGACCACAGGAAATAGGCACAGGAATTTGGACTTGATGTGGCAGGCTACAGTATCATTTCAGATTCTTTGGACAAAAGAATGACTAATATGAAGTGTTATCTAATGATGATTGGCTTGAAATATGGGATGGCTGGAGAACAAAAGTAGCTAAGAGTATACAGTTAAAATGTTTTGAGGGCTAGGGTTGTGGCTCAGTGGTAGAGTGCTCATCTAGCACATGTGAGGCCCTGGGTTCGATCCTCAGAACCACATAAAAATAAATAAAATAAAGGTATTGTGTTCAACTACTTCTAAAAAATAAATTTTAAAAAAATGTTTTGGTTATGAAAGAGCTAGGAGTCAGAGCATGGTAAAGTCTGGGAAAATGAAAAAAGGAAAGATCAAATCAGAGTGATACCTGGAAGAAAGAAATGAGAGGAACTGGCATACAATGTCATATGTATATATATAAAACTATTATTAATAGCCTGAATTCCTTTTAATTGTTCTTATATTTATGCCTTGCTTCAACTATCCAACTGAACTCTTACCTAATAAAACAAAATGTTTTATCCTGCTTTATAATTCACAGGCAGCTTAGTGTAGGATTGGTCTATAAAAGATAATCATTATACCATCATTAATTGACTGGCTTAGGAATCCCCTGTGAACATAAGAGAAGTTTTTCTTATATTTGTGAGGATGTTTAGAAGAGACAGAGAAAAATGAGAGTCGATCACAGAAGGGTAAGTTTAAGAAACATATAAATCTGGATTGAGCGGGAAGATGGCGGCGGGAAGGGAGTGAGCCACCCCTTAACCTGCGCCGCCATGCCCGCAGCGTGTGTTGCCACTTCTTAAAAGAAAAAGTAGAGATCATTAAAGGAGATCTGTCGACAAAGACTAAGCACCGTGTCAAGAAAGGGGCCTAGGTGGAGTGAGTCCTTCACGGCTCCCGCGCGAGCATAAGGCTGCAGTCCCCGAGCCACCGGACTCTCTTGGCCCCCTTTCCCCCTCCTCTCGCCTTTCCGCCTCCTTCTCTCCCGCCGTCTCTCCTCCCGCGTTCGCTCTCTGAATCTCGACTTTAATTTCTTTCCCCCGCCCTGCCCGCTCTCTCGCGTGCCCAGTCACCCAGCCGGCGCGGCCCTGTGGCGCCACCTCCCCTCCCCCAGCCCGCACCCCCTCTCGGGGCGACCCGAGGGCCGCAGCTGGACCGCTGCCGCCACCGTGGCTTCCTGCGGAGCTCGTTAGAGCAGACTCTTCACCGTGCGAGTGAGCCGCTGACCGGCCAAGCAAAATGGAACAGCTGATAAAATGAGTGACAATTTAAAATCTAAGGGATCCAACATGGCAGCGGGCGCGGAGAGATCAAGTCTCTGACCCCTTCAGCTGTGCAGGCATAGGGAGACGTAAACTGTCTAAATGCTGTTTGCTCAGGATCACTAGGCAATGCTGAGCTGACGTGGATCTGGGGCGAACAGTCTGGGCCTCTCAGAACACACA